TGTACATGCATATCAATGTTTAGTATATGGGCATTCTACTCGCTCAACTATGTAATGCAGGTCCTTGAAAATGTTTTTATGGTGAGCGCAGACAATGGCCGGGGTGCGACTTTGCGTTTTACACCCTGGCCTGGACCTTTTCCCAATAAATTTCAAGGAACCGACTGGGAAAAGTCTATCCATGACAAGATATTGCGCGCGCACGTGGCTCTTCTGCAATGCTCAACGTACGTCCTATATGTCCAGTGTCGCGGTACGCGGTACATGTACTTTTGTATCGAGACGTACGAGTGAGAGAAAAACAACGAATAACAACAGAAGGAAATAGAGAAAAACAATAAATAATTAAAGAACAGAGAGGAAACAAAGAATGTCATAAGCAGAGAGAGAAAACAAAAACTAACTTGAAAGAAAGAGAGAAATTAGAGAAGGAATTAATCAAAGTAAGGAAAGAGAGCAGGGGCGGATCTAGCTTTTTGCTAAGGGGGGGGGTTTGACCAAAATGATGACGATGCGGAGCATCGTCCACGAGCCGCGAAGCGGCGAGCCGATTTTTTTTGGGGTGTTTATTTGAACTCCGTAAGTGATATTTTCCTGGCATCTATTAACACAATGGAGACCATAAAAAGCAGTGCATGATAACGTCTTTTTAAATCAAGTAACAGTAAATACACAGTTATATCCAGAGTTATCATGTGTTTGGTTAAGTTACCAGATGAGTTGAATATCTTCTCACAATATTTGCACTTGAAAGGGTTTCTCTCCAGCGTGCGTTCTTTTTTCTTTCTTTTTTTCTTTTTTTTTTTTCTTTTTTTTTTCCTTTTTTTTTTTTTTTTTTTTTTTGGGCCGCCCAAGGGGGGGGGGGTTAAACCCCCTAAACCCCCCCCCCCCCCGTAGATCCGCGCCTGGAGAGAAACCAAATAATATTATGGTTTTTGTGGTTTAATTCCGCCTTCTTCAGGGTTTCAATTTTTGACGTGTAGCCTACTTTCAAACCATTTGCTGATTCGGACCCCCCCCCCCCCCAACACACGTGTACACATATTGACACATACACAGACTACACTCGACATAATATGTGTAATGGTAATGTAATACATAAACTGTGATTTAAATATTGCACTCGTACCATTTTCTATTATTGTGGGATCACGTCTTTCATTTTTTAAATTCATGTCATTTGTTTCTAAGACCTAATTTCTCTAATTCTCTTGACCCCTCTCCCTTCATATTTGTTTTCTAAGACCTCCCCCCCCCCTCATCTCTCTTCATATTTGTTTTCTAAGACCCATTTCTCCCCCGCCCCCCCCCCCCATCTCTATTCATATTTGTTTTCTAAGACCTCTCTCTCTCGACCCACTCTCTCTCTCGTATGTATTTCTCAGACCCCTCTTTCTTTCTCTCTCATTAAAGATAAACTTTAGTACTGGTAATGCGATTGCGTTGTGAAAGAAAAGGTGTGGAAAGGATCAGAAACAGTTGATCATGTAGCATGTAAGTATTGGTGTGCACTGCAAGGTTCTGGAGTCATCAAAATCATAATAAATTTGACCGAGTCTTGGTAAAGTAACAAGCACTCACATAGAAAGCTATATATGGGACAACACACATGATGTCGGGGCTGGTACTACCTTGATTTCCTTGTCTTTCTATGCTCATTACTCAGCCAGTATACATTTTCTTCCCAAATTGTTTGGCACATGTCATTTATTTGTAATCTTGAACATTCAGTGTAAGTTTCATTTGATTCTGTGAGAATTTTTTTTTTTTTTTTACCAGTACTGGAGTTTATCTTTAACCCCCTCTTCATATTTGTTTCTAAGGCCTCTCTCTCTCTCTTCATATTTGTTTCTAAGACCCCCCCCTCTCTTTCTCATTTCTTGATATTTTTTTCTAAGACCTCTCTCTCTCTAGCTCTCAATTCATGATATTTGTTTCTAAGACCCCCTCTCTTTCTCACTTCTTGAATTCATATTTGTTTCTAAGACCTCTGTCTCTCTCTCCCTTTCTCTCTTTCTCATTTTAAATTCATGATATTTGTTTATAAGACCTCTCTTTCTCTCTTTTTCCATTCATCACTTTGTCTAGTGTAATGTACAGACACATAACATATAAAGGAAATTATACACCAGTTTTACATGAATTCATTTGCACTTTATTTACTGCTTTACATTCATATACTTTTTTTTTTCGTGAAGGTAATCTAATCTTTCAATGTCAGAGAAGTAATACAAAAGATACAGGAGTATGTGTATGCATAAATAGTTATATAAAGAAGAAATATGTAGTAAAAGTGAAAGCAAACAATAGTAGAAATTTGAACAGATAATTTGACAGTGTGTTAAGATTTAGATGCAAGAAATGACTATAAGAAATTTTTGAAAATACATGCACATGTAGATAAAAAGAGATCTGAACATAGGCGGATTCATGGGCGCAGAGGCGTGCACCGCACTTTACTTTGGAGATAACGAACTGAATACACATAATAATGGATGATACGTGAAAATATTTTTCTTCAGCGAGTAACAATATTTCACGTATTTCGCGAAAATTGATCATCCAATATTATAAATATTATTTAGATACTCCACAGAGATATTGTGATTTATTCACCATTTTTTATAATATACTAGTACATGTACTTGTAAACTGCATCTTGGCAATTGAAGCTTGAAACGAGTGCAAATATGAAATTTCCCAAGCATTTATGTGGTGCTGGTGCACAACTAACATGAAAAGTTAAAAATGTTTGAATTTCAAGAAAACAGTAGTAGGCCTACCGTAACACTAATATAATCATTTACCTGTACAAAGTCGAACATCTAGAATTTACATATCCCAATCCAAGTTGTTACTTGAAGTTATTGTGACGTTACAATTATTGAAAACGAAGTAGTTACTTGGATGGTGCAATTTCATATGGTGACGTCACGTTTAATAGCTGCATGCGCACAATCACTAATAATGGCGTGGCTTAAGAGGACTGGCGCGCCCGATCGAGGAGCGTAGACTAGACTCATTCAAGCAGTTTCATTGCTATTTACCGGGAAAATGTCCAGGCCAGGGTGTAAAACGCAAAGTCGCGGGCCGGGGTAGGGATGGTTCAGCGAACACAAAATCATGACAACACCAGATATTGTATGAAAAATTTGTTTACATTGAATGGTTGGTAGATCAGCATTTTCAATCTGTATAAAAGCCAGTGTGTGATGCAAAGGGCCACGTTTGCCGGGTTAGGGGAGCTGCAAGCATTGGAAAGGCAGTCCAACAAATTAATGTGAGGATATTTATTCTTCTCCTTGCTTGTCAGATATGGCAGACAATTTTCAATTTTGGAATGGCGGGGCATCCCTCAAACCCCCAGTGGAAAAAAGCCCCAACCTTCTGTCTGTTTATCTGTCTCTCTCTCTCTCCCTTTCTCTCAACCATCTCTTTCTCTCTCTCTCTCTCTCTCTCTCTTTCTATCTACCCTTCCCTCTCTTCTGCCCTCGTCATCCCTCTTTCTCTTCGTATCTCTATATCTATCTTAATATCTCCCTCCCCCTTTCTCTCTCTCCCCCAACCATGGTGTGGTAAAACACTGCGTTATCCATTAGACGACACGACTCTCATTAAATTACGAAAGTAGTCTGTGTTCATTAGGAATTATATTTTATTTACAATATTGTACAGTATATGATTGCATTTCTTTCCTCCAATTTGGCAGTTTAAAAAGTCAATTAAAGTAGCACTCTCTTTCCATTTGGCAGGAATTCGTCAAAAAAAAAATCAAGAACATGACTTTTTACCTAAGATCGACCTAGCAATCTGATATAACCCTAAGAACATTAATTTTGTCGCTATTCTCATTTGCATGCAACCAAAAGAGGGCATATACGTACATTGTGTCGACACACGGCATTTCTGAACTCTATAGCTCGATTGGTAAAAGTAGTGTCGCTAGGTGAATAAATTAACCAACGATGCGAGATGATCTAGAGATAACATTCCCTAAAGACCTAGGCTTCCATAATAGCAGTAAACGCTATGTTGATAAATAGTGGAAAGTCGAAATCCTGGCCGATGAGGATCACATGTTATTCACACACATAAAGCGTCTCAATGAAAAGGGAACCACACTTTTGAAATAAAAAATTTCTAAAAACAGGATTTAAGTTCATGTAACATAATATATACAAGGAAATGTCCCTATTACCCATGCTTTTCGCACATGAATGGGCAGGAATTTCAGTCGCAGGCTAGTACTGCACAACATCATGACCACTGTCTAAAAATAAAACAAAAAATTATTTACCTGTTGCTACGTGTGGCTTAGCTAAACTCAGAATAGAAACATTTCTGTAGACTTTAAAAGTAGATGGCGCCATACAAATTCTCGTATTAGTGCCATTGATTAGGAGGGTTTGGCGAAACAGATTCGAGGTGGGCACAATGTGGCGTGTACTGATTCGTTGGGATTTAGCATGAAACAAAACTAAAGAATTTACGCATTTATGTTGTGACTAACGAAACCAAGTTGGCCAAACTCTATGTATAGTATACAAATAATGAATGGTTATAAGTTCAATAGTGCGAATATTTTCATGAGTTGAAAGATTAATATTCTATTCAACGAGGCGTCAGCCGAGTTGAATAGAATTAACGTTAATCTTTCAACGATTGAAAATATTTGCAATATTGAACGAACGAAAACATTCATTATTTGTTTTATACAACATCAAAGAAGATGTAATAGAACCTTAATCAATAAACAATGCTTTACTCCTTATATTTATTAAAATTGGAGTTAAGCCTTCTCGATTACATACATTCAGATTGCCTGCGCTTCAGATACACACAGGGCCTAGGGATACGCGCACGGCAGAGAGGTATACTTGGTACGCAGTCTGCATATAACCAAAAAGGCACGCCCGTGCAATATATATTGAATATCATGTGACCAACAATCCTCCAATCAAATAACAAGGATCCACGTAGGTGTTGTATAATACTTTTGAGGTCATTATAACAAAGGATTATACTAATCATATTTAACAGGGAAGCCTCATCAGCATTGATACTGTTTTTCCTGTGGGCCCTGCAATTTTACCCAAACACTGCCCAGTAATTTACACCTTTGTCAAGAGGTCAGGGAGGGAGAAACAGCTTGTTTAATATGGTAAGCATCGATCAAAGGATCGAACGCAGAACATCTCGTATAAGAGTCACCAGTCTTTACCAATACACCACAAGTCATCTGTATTGACTTGGCGTTGTATTCAGGAACATGACCTGAAGATCAACTATGTGTCTTCACCCGAAGCCACAATGACACCCGGTATGCTATCACTGTCCATGTCTTTGCTCTCCGTGGTCGCTTTCGAAGATGACGCCTTGTCGTTATCCTCCTCCTCCTGGTCTTCCGGGATGGCGCTCATGTTGATGGAACCCTGGAGGTTCATGCTGGTCCGGCTCACTGATCGGGGAACGATGCCGGCCGTGTCCGACGTCGTGTCCGCCGTCGTCTCGTCGTTTGCTACGCTGTCATGGAAGGTGTAAGAAGAGGTACGTGACATTAAACGTCGTCATGAGTCTCGATCAAGAGAGAGAGGGAGAGAGAGAGAGAGAGAGAGAGAGAGATGAGGTTGAAAGAGAGAAATTGACAGGAAAGGGTGAATTTGATGGAGAAAGCTAGTAAATGATTTGAAATAGATCATGTGGATTACAGGGAGTGAAAGGGAAATGGGAAGAGAAGGAGATTGAGATGAAAAAGAGGTTTAAATAAGTAGTGAAGATTTTCCCATGATTCCGCGATAATTCGTTTTGTTTAAACTTTCTACAAAATGAAGAGAAAAAACCAGAAAAAGATAAAAGAGGATAAATTTTCTACTAAAATATTATGTTCATATTTTGAGCCAGTTCCTAGTGCAGGCGTCTTCAGATAATAGACAAACAATAGTGTTTAACTACTTCTTTAGATACTAGCCAAAGGATAGGGTTAATACATTACAATGTACACATGGAAGTTTGTCAATTTACAGTCAGTACAGTGATGACGAGCAGTTACTGGACTAACTTTATCCAGTCATTGGCATAATTATGCGATAGAACACCCTTTCTCCAACTCAGTCTAAATTATCCGTTTACCCCCCCCCCCTGAAAAAAGCATTGAGTGTGCAAAGATATTATTGAAGCTCATAATGTATTGCTCACCTTTCCTCATATGAATTTGTGTCTTCCTTCTCCTTCTCCGTCTCAGTCCTCTTCTTTCTCTTCTTTCTGCTTGACATGGGCCTCATTGGAACATCCTGGGCTGTGTCTTCCGTTTTAAATTGAATCTTTTTCCCGTCCTTCTGACCGGCTTCCAGATCAGCCTTAACCTTCTTTTTCTCCCTTCTCTTGTCTTTCATCTTGGAGTGCTTGAGTCGTATGAAAGCGAAGATGACCACGCCAAGAACCATGCCGACACCGCCGCATATGAGGCCGATCCCCGCTTGTCCAGCCCTGCTTGTCGTCCAGTGGGCGGTGACACCGACTAGGAGTCCGATGCCGACCATTATTGCAGCCATGACACCAATGCACGTATGAAGATACTGCCAGGTCTTTGCCCTAACCGTCACCTTCGGCTTGTCGGGAGTTGGTCCCAGGTCCAGGCCTATATCACTCGCCTCTGCACGACGCATCGCGAGTCCCGCGCTCTGAGGGCGCGCTGTTGTCGGGCGAGCGAGTGACCGCGGGTAGAACTCCGGTTGACCGGGGTCGGAGTAGCCATATTTCACACGCTTTATTTTATCTCTGTCTTCACGTCTGGCGGCTGCGAGATTGAGGGCCCGTTGGGCACGGACCCCTCTATATTCATGTTTTCCCATCTTATTTTTCACCGAGTTAAACAAGATGACGCAAGCTAGTCAAATAGTCACCGCTTCGAAGTTTTAGTGAATAATTCTCTTCTCAGTTGACTGTGAGATCATCGGTGCCATTCGAAGTCCTTGTTCGGTCTTCGATTCACAGATACTTCAACATTTCTCCACGTTATGTTCGTCTCATGTCCGCTTCTGTACAAGAAGGAAACATAAAAACTTGAAATAGAAATATCTTGATGTAATGTCGCTCGTAGCATTAACCATTTCAATTCTTTTCCATCCTCTTTTGCCATGATCACAACACGTCACTATAGGTAGCAAATAACTGAAGCGAAGGCGTATTATCTGGCAACCATCACTGACCTACAGGGCGTATCATAATAAAGGATATTGAAGTTTAATGACGATTTATATGAAAACTACTGATTTCATAATCAAGCATTTTATGTCTGTTGTAAAGGACAGAATGTCCTCTTGTTAATGACACCCCGATCATACTACTACTGTCACAGTTGACTGAATAACAAAGCATTACTGTCCACCATGTGAAAGGTGCACTGTGCCAAGTTTGATAACATTTCCTTCTTAGACACATAATCCACTCATTGTTCAGCATTTCAATATGTCTGGGCTGACACAAGCACTAATCTTTAGAATTTATCTGTGAATGCTAACTTGTCACAGTGCACCTTTCACATGGTGGACAGCAATGCTTTGTTATTCAGTCAACTGTGACAGTAGTAGTATGATCGGGGTGTCATTAACAAGAGGACATTCTGTCCTTTACAACAGACATAAAATGCTTGATTATGAAATCAGTAGTTTTCATATAAATCGTCATTAAACTTCAATATCCTTTATTATGATACGCCCTGTATAGATCGAATATATTGGTTGTATACTTCACTGTCTCTTCCATGTCAATTTTCATTATCATCATCATTATATTATCACCATCTTTACCAACGTCATTACCATCACCAACAACAGCAACACCATCACCAACAACAGCAACACCATCACCAACATCAGCAACACCATCACCAACAACAGCAACACCATCATCAACATCAGCAACACCATCACCGACAACATCAATACCATCATCAACAACAGCAACACCATCACTAACAACAGCAACCCATCACCAACATCAGCAACACCATCATCAACATCAGCAACACCATCATCAACATCAGCAACACCATCACCGACAACAGCAACACCATCACCAACAACAGCAACACCACCATCAACATCAGCAACACCATCATCAACATCAGCAACACTATCATCAACATCAGCAACACTATCATCAACATCAGCAACACCATCACCGACAACAGCAACACCATCATCAACATTATCATCCACCATTAACGTCGTGGTCGTCATCATTACCACTATCATTATCAATATCAATATCGTTACTTTTAGCATTATCGTGATTATCATAATGAGCACCATCCACATCATCATAATCATCATCACCAATCAATATAACAATAGTTTATGCTGACAAAACCTTACTCTTTCTTAAAAACAAAAACTCCTTACAAAATATTTTAGATGAATAATTATATTAGATTTATTTGGAAAAGTCGCAGGCCCGAATTTAAATAAAGAAAACATTGTTTTCTTCTTATTGGAGAGGACAAGAAAACGTGGTCACTCTCCGACTCAGATCTCTTTTGATCAATACTTGGGAAATGTTCTGTATCTGCAGACTTGTACTATGAAAAAAACTAGAGTCGGGAAAATGACTAAACTACAGAAACTCCTGGATAACTGGAAAAGCAGAAACGTCACATTATTTGGAAGAATGACTATTAATTGTCTTAAAGCCCATCTGCACTAGTTTTGCCAGGGGGATCATCACTGGCAGGTGGTTATCTCATTAAATCAGCTCTCAATTACCAACAGGCACCGATTAGGCATTGTTTGTTGTAAAGAGGGCGCAAGTAGCTATAAGTAGTGCAGTAGGGCTTTAACGCCTGCAATTAAGTGATAAGTTTTACTGGTAATGAAAATGTTCATGTACAAGATAGTTGTTTACATATAAAGCTAAAGATATGACATAATATAATTATTGTTTTGAATACGAAGTCTTTGTTTTACGTTTTACTTTGTTTTCTAAATAACCGCTTTGAAGACCCGTCAGTACGCCTTGAACCAAGGAAATGCAAATAACATCTTTTATTCGATTATACTAAACTGAAGAAAGCTATTCAAAAGATATGGTTCAGTGATTTTACAATTGAAAACTCTGAACCAGTAGATCATATTCACTCTCTTAAAATTTTAAATTTGGAGGAGTGTCTTTACTATTATCAGTAACGTATTAAAGCAGCAAACATTTCTACAAAATACACTACAAAGAAACATTTACTGGTATTCCGTGTTCAAAAGGAATTTAACGTTTACTATAGGGAACAACGCTTTAAGAGAGCTAAATGTTAAATTGCTGTAATATATACTACCTGTCAGGAATCTTTACAAATGAGGATTAGCAGACGACAGATACCGCCTCCAGTGCCACGTCATAGATGACATAGTACATGTACATAATGTTTATTGAATGTGAACAGAACAAAAATAGATACTGGCAGAGGAAAGGACGTTGTAATAACTATCGCATTCTAGTGTACGTATATATATATATACAAAATGTAAATCTTCCTGAATAGTAAAGTATGGTTTCAATAAATACCGTTTCAAACTAAGATACGTATTTGAAAGAGGAAAAAACAGATTTATTGTAAATCAGGAGCTAAACATCGAGACAAAAATTTGCCAGAGAAACTGTAAAAAGCGTTTTAAATGATAAATAGAAAAGGATTGTACTGTGGAGAAAACATGGAGTTTGTTCTCACAGCTTGGTTTTATTGCTTGAATGTAAATAAACACCCCCATTCGAGACAATATACATAATACATTACAAACCATCTACTCACCAACGGAAATAAGATCATCCGCGATGTATCACATCTATATTGGGTTAGGCAGTAGAATATATCCCCCGTAAATTACTGTCTTACGATTCCGACAGAAGAAGTATACAAAAGTACTCTGAGATGATAAACTGATATTATGGACGTATCCTCGCCCATTCACTCGTTCACCATCATACTTGCGTCGAAGGCTAGGTCCTAAGTGTAATGCTAAATCTAAAGAGGTCGTATTATTTCTCTCTCTGTAGATATTTCACATTTATAGATGCGTTTCGATTCTTTTGATAATATATCTGTAATTGAGTGAAATTAGTCCAAAGCTGGCACTGTTCGTTCAACAGATGACCACAGTATGAGGATTCCAACACAACAAGATAGCAAACAGTCACGCAGCGTACATACAGCAATTATAATGTTGTGGTCAACGGGGCGGCTTGCCTTTTACGTGTAGGGCGATCTTAGTGTAATTTTGAACAATGTCTTATGGAGATGATAATCGATATTTTCATTCCTTTGTTACGTGATCTCTAAAGAGCATTAAGAATAGACCATAAATCAATATCGGAGAGTGTATCCGAAGATCGGAACGTAACACCGGTTGAATCAATGACAATGGTCCGCATATTGCAAATAATGATTAGTAACTTTGAATTTCAAGTTTCAAGTTAATTGTTAAGAGAAGATTTACATTCATTTAATTTATACTCAGTTTACACGTTTTAGGCAAAGCCTGTCCTTGAACAAATCCGTGAAAGAGTTTCTGAAAATAGTTTATACAACAACTAGACATTTTTACAAGGCGCGTCATGACATATTCAAGTTTGAACATAAAACTGTGATTCACTTGGAATAAACAACAAAATCAATGTCCATAAAATAAATATTATTAAAACAATAGGTACAAATACAGACAGCAAACAATATACATATTCTATAATTATAAAACTGACAATAATAAACACGGATGTAGTATTATCACAAACTTTTAAAATACATAAAACATTAACATACTTTAATAAAATAGGTATAAACTGCAATAGTATACATGCTTTATCAGCAAAGGAAAATAGAGAAGTCAACTAAAAAAACGTAATTACAAAAAAAGCTTGTGTCGTGTTGACGATTATGCTTTTAAATTATAATAACGGAGGAAGAAAAAGACAGAAAAAAATATCTTATAAGCGGGCTATAGATGACACTATATTTAGTTTAAATCTCACAAATTAAAGTAAAGAAAATAATCGCGCTTTATATACATTTCCTATATCTTTCCATTTTCCTTGTCGAGATTCACTCTCCAAGTGATGACGTCTTCAGGAGACGGCGGAGAGGGTATATCTTCCACCCCTGGAGACGGTTCGACCACGCCCATACGGTTAGCGGCAGGTGGTGGAGGATGAACGACCGGGTAGGTAAAGGGCGGTGCCTTAGCTTCAGGGTTAGGCATAGGGTCTGTGGTGGCTGGAATGGCTGCTCCTGTAAAGCTTATGTTAATAATAATAATATTAATAATGATAATGATAATGATAATGAAGATAATAATAATAACAATGATGATAATGACAATAATGATAATAGTATTGATGATAACAATAGTACTAATAACAATAATAAAGATAATAACATTGATAATATTAAAGACATTCAACAAATGTTTCAATAATCGTACGTGCTTGAACGGGGGGGGGGGGGGGATGTTCAGCCCCCTTTCTATGTTTAGTTTTACCAACATGAGAAAATAAAAGTTAAAAGTAAAAGGGAAAAGGAGAATTTCAAAAAAAGGTACAACTCAATTAATACCTCCCCCTCCCCCTCCCCCTCTCCCCTCCCCCTCCCCTCCCCCGTTCGCAGAGGCGCATACAATCATATCTTTCGTTGATATTGGACATCATTAAAGTTAAACCAATCAAGAGCCAGCCCCGTATGACGTCACACGTTATACCTTGCTCCATATTTGGTCACATGTAAACAGTTTCTTTTTATTTGAACAATAATCTAGTTAGAACTTACTTTTGTAGCATTTTTTGGAAAGCTTGGGTATTGCCTGATATCGTGGTTTGCATGTTGAAACTCTGTGGCGCCATTCTGCGCCCTCCAGGCAACACCCCGTTTGTTTGGATGACAAAGACTGTTTCGTCTCCAGTCGTGACCGCTTCTTGCAAGGTCATGTTGGGTACCGTCAATTCCGGGTCAGGTGCGGCTCCAGCTTCCAACGTCGGCTCCGGTG